ATAAATCATGCTAAATTACCCAGCATCTTTTCAAGAACAACGTCCTGTAGATCTTTATGAACGTTTAGAAAATTAACTGCAAAAGTACCTCTGCTAAGAACTGTATTAGGTAGGATAAAGACAGTGAGATATGTGTGACACAGAAATGATTAACATCTTACTTGTAAACAGATATTCAGGTTGGAAAAGCTCAGTAACTGAAATCATCAGCCCTTGAGAAGGAATGAGATCATATGACTTCAAGCAGCGAATCAAGAATAATTCAACTCTTTTTCACGCTAGAACATCAAATCGGGGATCCTAGTAGAAATACAGCCGATCAATTTGGAATGAAGATTTTTGTCAAATCAAGTCGAAGGAAGCCTTTTTCTACAGGGAAGAATCATCTTGCAGCAGAAGAGAACGAAATTTTAAGATTCTATTTTCTAAGGTTTTCACTGTTACAATTTTCAAACCTAATTTTAATTTCTGCAAAAACGTTATGGCTCTATTACGTAGCTCAGCTACATTAATTAACTTGATCAAACAGTTCCACATTTATTTGCAGAACGTCTTCGGATCTGCTTCGGAACACTCAATGAAAGCTGTTTTCTCATTTTTGCGTAGTCGACAAGTTTATGTCAATTAATCTTTTCACACTTTTAACATCTTCACATATTGGAACACCCTCAGCTGCCTTTGAGAAAATCACAGCTTACAAACACCGAACTGGAAACTTTCTGACAGTAAACGAAGTTATCTGCACTCTCATGTGAAACAGAAGCTTAATGTTTTAGACTAATTTTCAGTCATCAGACAGTGGAAGTTCCAGAAAATAATTTGGAAGCACCTAAATATCCATTCACCTCACAGATCGCTTTTATAGGATCCTTTGTCGCTGTCCTGAAACCTGAAAATATGCTTCACTTATTTCTTAGAATGGAAAGTTAGCCTTCTCTCAAGCAATCGTGATCTTGAAAAACAATTCAGAGGCTTCAACTCCCACTCCACCCTCAAAGATTTTCTAATAACATACTTTTGGAATAAACTGCGAGACTGATTCCACTTTCCTTCGGGTCTGAGATAAAAAAAAAAAAAAAAAAAAAAAAAAGGTAAGGCAAATTTGAATTTTCTTGTTTTCTTCCTGTTGCTTATCAACAATTAGTGCAGGTTCCGCAAGGCTATGCTCACTTAAAGATGATTCTTTATAGGTTGTTTCACTTCTTTATATGATTTTCTGAACTTGAGGAACTCCAGAGATTATTTTTTGATTAAAATTAAATTTAATTTTAAGGCGCTTTGGCCATCTGGTCCTTTTGAAAATTTGCAGATATATACCAAAAGCGCTTCAGCGCGTTTTAAACAACGCGGCTGATTAAAACACCCAGAATTGCTGCACACGAGTTTGTGACATCTAAAATAGACAAATAAATGGGAGCCTTGCTTTGTGCGACTGAATTCGTACTTGTAAAGGAAAGAGAACTTTAATATTGAAGATTTTCAGTTCAGTTCTTCATTACACGAAGTTAAAATGAAACATTTTGGAATTAAATAGCAGAATTTTCGGATCCTCATTGTCGTCACTGGGATAATAAGATTTAGTAGTTATTTCTTAATGTTAGCTCCCAAAGTGCTAGCAGTAAATCCTCTTATCACAGCCTTAACGAGTGCAATCGTTGGAGCTCTCAATACACTGAAATTCATTTCTTCCTTTCAAAGACGGAAAATTGCCTTGTCGCGTTTAATAGTGAACTTGAAGAAAGCTTTTGTGTAATCATCCATGATTATTCTTTCAGAATCATGAGTTAGTTCCTGGAAAATCATTCCTTGATAGATTTCCTGGAGAATTCGGTGTGGGCATAAATTAGGCAAAAGCCGCTCTTTCTTCGTTTCCTTCTGTCCATCAGCTTGTATAACACCACCTTTGACAACAGTATCCTTCAAGGGTGTAAAACAATTTGTCATCACATAATGAGAATCTCGATTACCTGTAAGCAGTTTGGAGACGTTGGTGGTTCCGGATAGCCAATTTCACAATGCTTTTTCTCATAAAAGTTCTTAAGATCTAAATTGTACTGAAAGTGGAAGTAATTCCAGTGAGCTAAACGTTTCAGTCTTCGATGAGACTTCCTTCAAACAGCGGGCTGTGACTGAAAAGATAAGGCCTTTAACAGTCTTATCTAACTCAGTTCCATTCGAGTAAGCAATATTGAGTAGGAACAGTGCCTTTGACACTAGGCATGTTTAGTCTCCATCCTAAAAATATAGGCAATATTGTGCCTTAGATTTTCAATAGAAATATCACGTATAGGGTATCGTACACGGGAGAATCATGATAGTACACAGACAGAGAAATGCCTTTACGCCTAGCTCTGCTTCTACCTGCTGCTGAAGGAATTTAGTTGATCGAAATTCTTTATAAAGTTGAATTACAATATCATTTTTAATACACAGTGGGCGTAATTACAACTAAAATATTTGAGCATAAAATTCTTTTCAACTCCCGTCTCCATAATTTTATGCGTTTCTGGGAAAACTGCGTTAAGAAAATTTGGAAATTCACTGAAACATGATTCTTTTAATTAACTTTTGAATAATCTCTATTTCTAGTAAAATAACTCTAAATATTTTTGCACTTTGAAAAAAAAATTGGATGTCAAAATTCCTCAATATCCATAGAACTTTAGAGCTCTTCCGTTAAAATCACGCTAATATAATTTTGATTGCCTAACTTCAAAGTCATTATTTAACATAATCATTGGTAGTTTTCGGTATTTTTTTCCTAAAATTATTTAATATCACCATACTTATCTCACTGAATGATACTAAAAATTAAATAAATATATTTTGAAAGAAAAATATGTGTTAAAATTCCTAAATATCCTAACTTAACATTTTAGTATAATCTTGCAAATCTTTAAGCATATTTTAACAATAATATAAGCTATATTTTTCTGCATTAAAATCATCATTTTCAAACTTAAATTAAGACTTTTATTTAATATTTACACTATTTGAAATATCTTAAATTTACATATTTAATTTTTAATAATATTTTTAATTCTTCGTGAAAATTTCTAAATTTTGTTTTATCAAATAACAGAACAAGTTAATTAAGCTATCAAATGCAATTTCAGAATTACGTTAAATTTAGTCGTATTTTCAGTTGACAGCGAAAATGATTCAGACTTTCTTCTTCCTCAATTTTTGTAATAATTCACTTTCAGCATCTTATTTTTAAGAATGATTACAAACCATTCAAATGTACAATTTATTATACGAGTTATCTCTAAAAACTGAATGTGATGAAATAACGATTTTACTGCTTTGCGGCTGAACCAATATCCAATACTTTCACAGCTGAATGGCTTTTATCCGTACCGTCCGTTCTTCAAACATCAGGGTACATTTCAGTCTATCACTCTGAACAAACTATGTTTTAATCGATTGCTTTCTGTTCCTAAGATATCATAGATGTTTTGGTCTATCAAAGAATACTACGTTACTCTGAGTTTTGCAGACGCAATAAATGACGTGTGCGATGCGCTTGGATGCCAAAATTTGATCACTCTTTTGCGACGGGTAGATTGATGGTTGGTGGATATCGAGAAAGACGGTTGCGCCTGTCCTCTTTTTGTCCCGTTCTCACTGAGCATAAAAACATGATGAGGATGAATCGAATGCATTTTTGTGAGTTTGGTGACGATTTTTCCTTTCTTCCTTGAATCAATGATTTACAGAACATTTTCATGGAAGCACTTTTTTTCATACAATTTTCCCGTTACCTTTACTCCAGTGCCCTTATTTTGAACTGATGTAGAGAGTATACTTTTCTTATTTATCTCTATTTTCATGCAATATTCGATAACATATATCTGGTAAAAGACAATCCTTTATTTCGAATAATATTTATTAACACATAAAAATGTATGCTACTGCTGTATTTTTTAATTCTTTAAATATCCATCAACATATTTAATAACATTTACTCAGTAAAATCTTCTGCTTTATTCTTCAATTTGACTCTGACTAAATAATGTGAATATTTATATAAAGTATGGGCAAAACGTTATCCAGTAAACATCCTTCTATATATGCTAACGGATGTAGAAGATTTATGACATAAGGGCTGATTCAGAATGCCAGTTTATTACAACTTCTCATTAATTTCAAAAGTTTGTAATAAATATGCAAAATGAAAACATCCGGACAAATTATTAATTTTCTTCAAAGAATATTACTCTGTATTTGGGGGGGGGGGGGGGGGGGGGGGGTGGGGGGGGGGGGGGGGGGGGGGGGGGGGGGGGGTGTTTAGGACTTCACTAATGGGGGGGGGGGGGGGGGGGGGGGGGGGGGGGGGGGGGGGGGGGGGGGGGGGGGGGGGGGAGGGGGTGGGGGGGGGGGGGGGGGGGGGGGGGGGGGGGGGGGGGGGGGGGTTTTTTGTTAGGACTAAATGTAGTCAAGTACTAAACTAGTGTAGTTAATAATTAAATTCCTTTCAGTGGGGAGTAGGGTATAGTAAGAAAAACAAGATCAGATATAAAGCTCCTTTTCAGCCGAACGTACGTCAGTTTTTTTTTTTTTTTTTTTTTTTTTTTTTTTTTTTTTTTCCGATATTCCTGCTTTTCTTTAAAAAAAAAATCTTATGAATTTCTCCGTTATTATCATTACTTAATATACTCAAAAGCAAATATTTATGGAAAAGGATAGTATTTTTCAAAAGAAGAAAAAAAAGAGCAGTATCATGTTTAATGAAACTAATACACAGAAAGATACGAGTCTTAAGTACAGTATTAACCATTCATTTAACACAAGCCTTATCTCTCAAGTTATTTAGGATTATCTGTAATTAAAGCAAGCTCTATTTTACTTGCTTTGTGACGTAAAGCTTACGATATGTAACTTACGATATGTGGTTTAATTTTCAGTTTTTAACTGTCCAGCGCATTTTCATACAGGAAATTTAAATTATTTTTTGAGTTTAATGCCATTTATCTAAGAAATAATACTTTTATTTCCAGCTAAAAGGCCACCAGTTGAAGAAACAGCCAATTTTCTCCAGACTTTAATAATGAATCATGGACGAAATTTCTTGGAGAAATTGTTTGGAAGTAAAGCACGCGATGCATTGGTCCCACTTGGAGGAATGCAAAAGGTGGCCATCGCATTGTCGGGTTAGTATTTTCTTTCCAAATGACAAAAGTTATACAAAACCTTCAACTTCTCGTGTACTTCTCTGCATTTAAAATAAGGCTGAGACAAAAATACTTCTTCTTTACAACCTCTTTCAAAGTCGATACAAAGCCTTCCCTGCATGTGACAGTTTACCATTGCTGTAGCTAAGAAACTTTATCCCATAAGCTCATAAAATTCCCTACCTTTGTCTGATAAGCATAAAAATATTAACTAAAAGAGATATCATAGTTGCAAATATGCTGATGTCTTACTAAATGTATATGCCCTTGCAGAAAATGAAATGTACCGCATACGCATTCATTTATTTCTAAGAATTGTTTATTTTGATGACATTACTAATGCTTTGAGTTTCACCATGTTTCATCCATGCAAGATAAAGTAATAATTCCTTCATCTTTAGCATGAAAAAAAAAGTTAAATATTAACTTATAACAACACAGATTTTTTCCACAGAAATTTTGAAAGCTTATAGCTATACTGTAGTTAAGAACTTCAAATAAATAAAATTTATAAAATTAAGCATATAAGAATTTAAAGATATGCTTAGTATTATTTCATCTCTCATGCAGTTAATCACTTTCAAATTTAAGTTTTCTTTGGAAAACGAGGTTGTAAACAGCTGATTCAGCTGCATAACAGCTTGTAACTTATTTGTCTTGTAAATTCTGAATATTGAAAATGATTTTATCCTGATACTTAAAAGACAAATATCCAAGTCCTTTTTCAGTCAAAAGAATTGCAATTAACAACTTATAGCCTCTGTTTAGCAATAATAAAAGCTGAAGCGTGAAGTTGTTACAAATCTGCTTCCCAACTCAATTAGTTAATGCTGTTTCTAAAGTTTTTATACAAATAAAGAGACGCAAACCATACTGAATTTCAATAATTCCTGAGAGTCATATTTTAGTTGGCTTTAATTTCAATAAATGAAGAGCCGATACATTTCGAAAGACTACAGCTTTGACTTCTTCATCTAAGTAAAATACTGAAGCCATAGAGTATTGTCTCGCGTCTTGCTCACCCGTGAAGTATTGTCTTAAGTTTGGGTAATCATCCACTCTAAATGGCAGGCTGAGTGAGCTTAGATGGCTAGAGCATCGAAATGCATTGAACCCGCCAAATAAAAGTTGAATTTTAGCAGTTACTGTGTTAACGCAAATTCAAATTTTTGACACTCTGTAAATTTGGAAATACATTTGGTGATTTAAAAGCTGAAAATGTGTTTATTCTCTAATCTGTATTGCTTACTCTCTTGTTCATATAAAAAAGTGAATTCTCTCACTCCTCTTGCAGTCACTCCTCTTGCAGTTGTAAGCAAGGCAACATTGACTTGAAGTTGCAAATAGATTTGTAATAAATTCCGTTTTCAAAAAATAATGTTTCTACATCCAATGTTCCTAAAATATTTGGTTTTTCTCATGATCCTTTCTAATAACATTGTGTCGCTAATGGTTTAGGGCATCTTTGTCCATTGTTATTATATAATTTGTAAAATCCTGTAAAAAAATCATTTTTTAATGTAATATTTGGTACTTTACTTATGATCAGACGTCTAATTGCATACGTAAACTTTAATTGATTTTACTTTAATTAATTTTGTGGGGTTACAGATAGTTACTTTTTAATTTATTTGATTTTACTTTAATTAATTTTGTAGGGTTATAGATGGAGAGCCATTAGGGCCATCTCTAACCCCACAAAATTTTTACCAAGACTATGAAATAACGAGAAAAAAATACGTTTAAAATACTACTATTTAAAAATAAAAATTATTGTAATGTATTCGTATTTTTGTCACTAGATGGCTGCACTTGTCAGTTAAATTAAATTTAGCGTTTCTAAGACGTTTACATAACACTTGATTTCAGAAAACATTTTCACAGTGGTGCAAAAAGAGCAGATGCACCTAATTAAAGAAAAAAATTCAGATTTATGAACGAAGAAAATGATTATGACAGTTTATTTTATGAATTAGAAATTAAAGCTTCAGATAATAATGGAGAACAGAAAATAATGGAAATAACTACCTATCATTATGGTTCTTTTCACAAGGTCAAGTCCACTCCTGATTGCTTAAATGATATTTCTGTGTGAGCACAGATTTAAAAAAAAAAAACTTATGGTAAAATCCTAGTATACGGTGCAGCCTTGGCGCGATTTTGAAAATTATCGCCAACACCAAAAATGACCCCAAAGAACGTCTAGGTATATACTAAACGCTTTGTACTAACACTATATACATAGTAAATACTATGTATAACTATTTATATTCTTTCAATGACCGGTTTACTACTCATCGTAAATGTCCCGTTTTTTCTGCTCATCATCATAAAGTCGCCAAATCCCGTGTGCACCGGATACTAGGATTAAACCAAATTTATTTTTAATCTAATTTTATAAACTTTGAATAAAGGGTTTGAAATAAAACAGTAAATATGTCTAAAAACAGTATTATTTTGTTAAAAACGGTCCCTCGATCAGTTGCCAAATTTGGAAGATTAGTGCCCAGAATTCTCAAACTTATAATAATAATAGCAGGAAACTTGTAATAATATTAATATGCCATATAATATAATACATATAATATTTAATATGTGCAATGCCGATATTCTTCGTAATGTCCAATTTGTGTAATTCTCTGATTTTTTTAAACAAAAACAGATCGAAGGATACATTAGGAGATCAACAGTAATATAATAATAACATTAATATTATATAATATTTAATTTATCTTAAAAACATTATTTTAAAATAATCAAATTTGTATTTTAAATTGTATTTTTAATTATTTTTCCTTTGATTTGTTAATAATATTTGCTAACGAATATTTATGCGGCGGCATTATGTAGGACGAGAAAAAATGGTACTTCGTTCTCCCCATGTACAGCGAGATCTGTTTCGCTCAAAAAGTTGTCAGAGAATTGCATAAACTCGACATTCCGCAGTCTTGACGCTACGCACATTAAACATTATATATATTATACTATGTGATTTCTTTTTGTTCTTTTGTTGAAAGTTAGTTAGTTATAGTTAGTTATAGTGTTTTCAAGTTTTTAGGAAATTCATTTTAAATTTCACCAAAACACTTGCGGTGGCTGCTTTAACATGGAAGTACCCTAAAAACAATTATTCTTACATCATTTATGGATCTGGGGACCTGATTTAAAACTCGCAGTTGGGGTCATAAATCAGCATAATTAATTCCCAGAATAATGTTTCATACATTTAACAGCAAATTGGCCAATATCGATTACCAGTTACAGTGAATCTTCATTAAAGACGAGAAAAATGAATGATATCGGCAGAGATTCACTGTATTATAATCATACTAAATATTAATAAAAATATGCGTAATTTACAACTGAAACATTAGTTTTTATTACTATTATTTTATTATTATTGCAAACATTATTTTTAATCAGAATTATCACTCATCAGGTCTATGATGTCTCGTTTTTTGACACTTCCGTGTTAGGCAGATGGCTAGTGATAACTGCTGTCCATTCTTCTTGATTGGAATACGTTAGTGCTTAATTCGTTTCCACTGGAATGAAAGCAAAGTGTTTAGAGTTACTACAATTTTAAAGTTTTCCAAATATACCGAAAGTGGAATCTGTTCCAATTAATCACCAAATATTTGGCGTTACACTGTTATATTTTTAACTGAAATTTAAAAGTCACACTGTGTCCTTAAGCCTCTCTTCCTGTTCAGTTTTCTCTTGTTAATACTGAGAGCTGCAGAGATTAGAATTTTTTGAATATCACTAACGAGCGAATTATATTCTTTGGCAGACGACATGCTTTCAAGTATATTCAGTGTTCTTAGATTTGATTGACCGCAAATTTAGACTTCAGAAGTCTTTCTCTCAAATAGATTTTACAAGCTTATTAGTGCGTATGGTGTACCTACAAACAAATTATACCTACGCTAAATACAAGGTTGGTTTTACGATTTTGATTGTCACATTAGCGTGTTTCTCTTATAGTCTAAATGTTTTAGTATCTGAAATATTTTTGCGATATACGAAATGGATTCCGGACAGGATAAATGCCGTATCATTATATATGTGAACTTACAAATATATTAATCGATTACGAATTTCTGGTTCATATAATTTCTGATTGCGGAGCACCTTTCTTGAATATAGATTTGGTCCGTGTATCAGTCAAAGGGTAAAGAAAATATGAAAGATGAATTTGTTGAGCATAATAACATGATGACAAAGCAAAGGGGCAAACTGGGTAATTATTTTAAAAAAACGGAAGGTGAGAATGTCGCTGTGAATAAAGAGTGTAATGATGCTGAAAATAAAACGAACAACTTGAGTAAACTGCGGCAATCCGAATCTGGCAAAAATTCTTCAGCTTTAAAGAAAAAGCATAGAACAGAAGATAGTTTCGTAGAGCTTCTAAATTTAATTTAAGTTACTGAAGGAAAACATTTCCTAATAGCAAATATGAATTTGGAGAGGACAGATAAAATTGTAAAAGCAACTTCAGATTCAATTTATTATATGTGACAAAAATAATAGTTGTCTGGTTTCCAACTCCAGAAAGCAGAAGCAAAATTAGAAAAGTTTAATTCTTCTCATTGAGTTTTCTCAGTGTGTTAATGTTTCTCAATGCGTTATCGACTCAAAATCCAAGAACTTAGCCAAAGCTTGTACACAATTTTTTAAGAACCAGTTCGGTCAAGGAATGCTTTTATATACATTTATTGATAATAACTTGATATTTCCCATAGACAAAGAAACACAATGCTTTTTAGTACTATCACGGTATTCGTCTGCTTACAAATAGTGAACAGGTGAAGCGCTATTGAGCTGAACAACTCGCAAGAAAAGGACCTTTGTATTGCTTTTGTTAAAAACCAGCTCAATTATAATTGTGGCTTTCATGTCAAACAGGGATACAGGGACTACAAAAACTATAAGTCTTTCTCTTATTATTAATTGTCTCAAAATCACAAAAATCATATCTTAAAATAGTGCTACAAGCATATATTGTTTAATAGTTCTAGGTAGCACACCATACATAAGTCATAAAGAAGATATAAGTGTGATTTTAATAGAAAGAATTGTCTACAAGTTTCTAAAAATTAATACATCAAGTTAAGTAAGTTCAAATTGAGAAGGAATTAAAATGCTGGAATGAAGTTTTCAGAAAGATTGCTTTTTACATTATGCTTACAGCAGGAAAAACAAATCTTCCTTTAAAGAGCGATCATAGTAGAAAATACAGTCAATGGAACTTCCTAGCCGAAAGGAGTTGAATTAATAGCCAAATAAGCCAAATAATTATCTCTGCAATAAACATTATATAATGTCATGAAAATAATGGGATAAACGAATGTTATTTAATAGTTCCAGGTTTCGCACCAAGTATAATTAGCAAAGAAGAGCTGAGTGTATTTTATGAGTGTTAGGTAATGTCTGTTTTAGATCAGTCACCATTTAGGTCTATTTGTTTCGATTTTATGAAATTTTAGATAGCCCACATCGTCTCACTAAATTATTCTTTCATGCATTATTAGGTCTTAGGATTGCAGATTATCGTGGACAATCATACGATAGTGAATACGACATGAAAGGGGGAAAATGGGCAGCATGCCTTGTCCTATTTACGGCATTACATAGCTTTTCTGCTCATAACGCGAATTTGGTTGTTAGTAACATAATTAAATCATCAAAAACTGCATAAAATTTTACTATTGTGTGGCAAAGATAGTTTTCTTCATTTTCAGCACTTAAAAGGCGCTGGGAAGTTCTAAGCATTCATACGCAATTCGCGGTGAAACCGCTCTGCGAAACCAAATAGGAAAAGGTATTAAAGCTGCTATAAATACGATCTCAACCGCTAAACGGTATATATTATATTTTAGCTATAATATATGGTTTTAGAAGAGTGCTAAGAAATTTTTAAATCGATTACCTCTTTCTTGGCAAGACATCTAATTTATTAAAAGAAATCACAGCATCTAACCACTAGACTAAACTGGCTGGTCATCCGGCTATGCGATCACTAGGCAATTAGGATGTGTACCCAATGGCACCCCGTACCAGCACGCCAGGTGTTGGCCCCCCATGACGGTGATGATTGCAAGCTGGCAAAACTCGTTCTAGGTACATACAGAGACGAATTTGTTCATCATACTGCTACCCGGATGAATAGGGTGCTGGGTCTGGGCGTCTGGTGCGAGTCTCACGTGTGGCCTTATTCTGGCCTTGCTCTGGATATTGGAGGACGTGGCGCTAAACCAATTAACCATAACGGTAAAGGGATGGTGCCCACGTTCCCCATTCCTAATCCTAATACTAATCCTAATGATGCTGTACGCGAAATCAGGATCAGTCTGTAAAGACTGCAGGGTTCACTCCTGTCTCCAGTGTCGTTGTCCGTAGTGCTACAGTGCAAATGTCATCGCACTGTGTCCGCGCGAACACTTGTCGTCCTAAACACGAGCCAAGTTCCTGACTCACGGTTTAAAACGTGGCTGTACAATCCCGTACGGCCGAGAAGACAACATGTCTGTTCTGTCTGGAGCTAGTGACCCGGGGACACTGGGATGTACACTGCTCAAAAAAAAAAATGGGACAGTCCTATATCTCCCGATCTTCTGGGCCGATTGACAAAATTCAAATTGCGTTCTTCATGTCTCGAAAGCGCGACTTAGGATATATATTAGATTTATATATAGCACTATTCTAACATAGGTATTTTGATACAAAATCGGACTTTTTCTGAAATAACATACCAATTTTTTTACATATTTTGATTCTACGACTCAAATTACGCTTAAATATGAAATTTTGTAAAATTTGGAGCGAAATTTACGGAGAAATTCACAAATTTATGTTGGCACTTTTTTGTCAGTTTGCGCCAAGAATACTTCACTTGGCGAACTTCTTAATATATGGCAACCTAGTTTCCTTTCCCGTGAGAGGGAAAAAAGTCACCATCGTTCCTTTTTTCCAAATTATATTCTTTATATTATATTTTTAATTATAACTTTTTATTTTAAGTACTTTTTTTTTTTTTTTTTTTTTTTTTTTTTTTTTTTTTTTTTTGAATTTCATTTTAACTGTTTAAGTTGCACTTTTTTTTTTTTTTTCGAATAACTGTTTTAAAATTTCTATTTACCTATTCGAACAGTGTAAATAAAGGTGCAGCGTTTTTTTTTTTTTTCAAATAGTTTTCTTTATATATATTTTTCGTCATAGTTATTATTTTAGGTAATTTTTAAATTTTTATACTTTTATTTTAATTGTTTGTGTTGCATTGTCTCTTCAGATAATTGTTTTAAAATTTTCTATTTATTCCTTCGAACTGAGCATTTTAAATATATTTATTAATATCAATTTTCCAGAATTTGATTTTATTTATTTGAACTGCTTTTCTTTCGGAAGAATACTTTGTAACCCAGACTACGATGAGTTTGAAAACTGCATACTATATTAAAAGAGAAAATACAGTAAAGCACAGTTTTACACGCCTTTCAATGTTCCGTTCAGAAAAGATATATATAAATAAGAGAGATGTATAACCGACATTTTAACTTAGGATGACTTGCATACACTGCTTTAAACAGTTTTATCATTGTGCCCATTGCTTTACACAATTTTATCCTACATTTGGTTTTCTTAAAATGTTATTCATATTTTAGTCAAATATTTTATTTTTGAAATCGCAAGAATCAAATATCATAACATTGAAAAGTTTTAAATTAAAAAAAATACAAATACTAAATTTTACGAAAAAATTTATTTTCTTCTCTTTTTCTTTAAGCATTCTGAAAGTATATTAAAAAGTATCCAACTTTTCGAAACATTTTGGTATTTCTGACAATTATTTTAAATAAAGTTATCGCCTTCCATTTCATAAAGGCCCACAAACGGCCGAGCGGTAAAGACGCTGATCACTGGTAGTTCGGTCCGAGGTTCGAATCCCGCAAACGGGCTGGTTGCATGGGTGTTTTCGTGGTTTTCCCGATGTGTAACGTGTATACGAGCCAGTTTTCCTTAGAAAGTCCTCCACGAAGGCATCCCTCCCTTTAGGCAGATAGCCCTCGTGTGCTTTGCCATAATTAAATAATCCAATCCAATCCTGAATTAAATATAATTGATTTGTAACTTCTACTAGAACTGACGTTAAGAATTTAAGTGCAAATAAATAATATCGTGTGCAATCTTGATTAATATAAAATTAAAAATATTTGCACAGAAAAATATTTGCATTCAGACAGAAAGTTTTTTGAAATATTTGCAATTACTTTATAAGAAGGATTTATTAATAACCATAATAATTACTTATTATATTACTGATGATTAGGAATCAGTTCTTGACAATTACATTCTAAATTAGAATTTTAAGAATTATTAGAATTTTAAATTAGAATAATGAAAATACGCTACGCACAAAAATACATTTTAGGATAAAAAATGAGTTGCTTTTTTATGTTTTAAAACTTCTTGAATTCATTTAATAAGCATCGTATCCTCGTTGTTAATTGAATTCAGAATGTTGGGTGTCGTTTATATAATTATTCTTACTTGTCCACGGAATCTGCTGACTTATCCAGCGATTAAGTAGCTGCAGATCATTTCTACATAACCATGAACTTCCATTAATTCAGTCTCTAGAGGGTTGTATATTTATATCATAATTTGACTTTGATAAAAATGATTTATTCTAAATCTTATGTTTCTATAAAAAATATACTGTGCTTTAAAAATATGGATGATAGTACCAGCCGCTCTTTCAGCCACTTCAAAAGCATCAGTTTGTTTAGAAATGATTTGTGCAGTTAATGTCATAAAATTCAAATAAACATGAAACGAAAATTCTCAGTTTTAGACAATTCGATTTAAACGAAGTAAAGTAGCAGACGATTTTAAAACGCCGCCGAAGGTAAAAATTTACTCTTACAAAAATGTACTCTTATAAAAAGAAAAAAAAAAAAAAAAAAAAAAGATAGAGAGGAATTTTAAAAAATATTAAAAAATTTATTTAAAAAAATAGCTTTTCGTATAGTAGTAATAAATATTTATTACGCATCATTGAGGGAAAAAATGTCATATAATTAATTCTCCGTAAAATTTTACTTGAAAATTTAAGGTTAAAAATAGCTGTGGCAATACAGTGTAACAAAAAATCCATAGACCACATTTGGCGTTATTATCGCTCAAAAAAAAGATGCCAAATTTCAAAACGCGAAAATATGTAATTTGTGTATATCTTAGAAAATTTTGAATAAAAAAAAGTCTAATTTTTTGCAGATATGCTTAAAAGTATACCTACTTTAAGATGATGGTAAAAATTTTATAGGTTATAATTCAAATTTTTTTTTCGAAAAAATTTATAAAAATTATTTAAAAAATAGAAATTTAAAAAAAAAAACACAAAAAATGGGTAAATTTTATTTGGAATGAACCTAAATTTCGAAATGTGAGAGAAAAAAAATCAAAAAAAGTTTAATAAAAAAGAGATATAAATAAATATTTGCCAAATTCAATTAACATTGAGGAGCTAAAATTTTGAGAGTTAATATTTCAAAAACTACTCGTACAATCTTTACAAAACTTGGTATTCTGGCATAATTTGAGTCATAGAATCGAAATATGTAAAAACATTGGTATGTTATTTCAGAAAAAGTCCGATTTTGTGTCAAAATACCTATGTTAGAATAGTGCTATATATAAATCTAATATATATCCTAAGTCGCGCTTTCGAGACATGAAGAACGCAATTTGAATTTCGTGAATCGCCCCAGTAGAACGGGAGATATAGCACTGTCCTTTTTTTTTTTTTTTTTTTTTTTTTTTTTGAGCAGTGTACATAGTGTTACTCACCTGCTTCGTGCGAATGCACCAGAAAATTAATCATTTGCATAGCCCTGCATGTTTTAGGCAAATTTGACGTCTGTTGCATGCCGTCTTTATCGTGTAGCAATTTTAATGCCCAGCAGTGTAAAATGAAAGCTGGTATTATAATAATTATCTCACAGAAAGAATTTTGCCTTAATTTTGTGCTAGTATATCAAGAAAACCTAGAACGCAAAATGCAAAGCACATATATCTTCGACTTTGCTATCTTATGCCATTACATTTTTTAGAAAGAAGGTCTGCCAAGCGTGAAAAAGGCCTTTAAACGTGCAGCTGCTCTTGCACATTCAAAAAGAACGATATTAGTTAAAATGAAGTTATTTTTGATCGCCAGGGGGTGATCTTTATGACAGAATTCGGCAGCATTTTGAAACTTGGGATAGTCGCTAGTCGGATTGGTTCTAACTCCCTGACACCTCCAGACTATTAACCGGTAACTATCATCAGGCAACCAAAATCAAGACTTGTTGCTGAATACTACATTGTGCGATTCAGATGTCCAAGTCGCTAGTTGACGACACTATCACAATACTTCGCGTCAATAATTTGGCGTTAATGGTAGTCTTCGCAAAGGGTGGCTTGTTGCAAGACCCTTTCAGTAAAACATTGGGAAACTGTTTCCCAGATCTTAAAGCAGCCAAAGCTTCCTGCACATTCCACAAAATGTCCATAATATTCAAATGTAGTGCCATCACCGATTCTCTTCGTATTCGTCGATCTGTACATCCTAAAGTAGTATGTCTAGATAAGCCTATTCCGCGACTGTTTATATTCCCTTCATCGATCCATCTAGGCCAAATTCTATGCACAATGGATACACCTACATGCGTTTCAACAGCGATAAGACCAACCAGCCATACGTAAGCCTACATTTTGGCCATTTATAAAATTGTCCGTTTTCCAGAATTGCCTACGGTGTCGTAGTCCAGGTATCTCTTCATTCACAAGTGTCTTCTGGAAAACTGAAGTTCTCGAAATTCTGGGTTCTCTGAACAGCAGAGAATAGCGACTATTGGCTAGGCTGCTGTCTTTCACTTCGCTCTATAATCACGTGACCAACTTGCATCTTACATCATCTGCATCACTTGTTCCACCACGTTTTTCCGAACTTTGCGCATTTATAGACCGAATTTTCACGGTTTTGCATTTTCTATGCAAGTCAGTCAGCAATAAAATGCTTGCCTTACTTAACGAGACTTTCAGTATTTTATATTTGTGTATATTTTCTCAACTTTTTAATTGCTCATATGTTTGCTTCGATGCTTATTTTTGTTTACTAGCGAAAATGCAGCACTTCGCACTTAAGAGTTATAAAAAATCAAAAGCTATAATTAAAATCTATCTTTAGTCATTATTTACTTTCATCTATAAAAATCTTCTATCTTAATCAAAACAATATGTAAGCATTTTATATTTACATTAAAATTAATTTTTTGACTTTGTGTGAGTATTCTTTCTATTTTACAGAAAGCGAAACTCTTGAAGATTTCGGCAAGGCCTTGCATCTGATGCGATCTGATTTGGAACATCTGAGAAATGTGTTCATGGCAGTGGAGACAGGGGACTTCAGTCTTCTGAAATCCTTGGGTATTCGGGACTCGGAACTTGGGGACGTAAAATTCTTCTTGGATAAATTAGTCAGCACCGGCTTCATGGATTAAAGGAAGACACAACTCGAAAGAAGATCGATCTCCTCCCTCCTCAATCCCTCCATATGAGTCGTCAAAACCTTTATAAATCGATATATATATATATCTATCTATATGTATATAAATAATTATGTATACCTACAGATATATATATATATATATATATATATATATATATATATATGATATATCAAACGCATCAATGTACCATTGAACTGAAAAGTTCTACGAGCTACATATATACATATCTTCGGGGAAATATTAAAATTTCATTACAGTTGGTGTGAAAAGAAATATCTTTGATATTTTTATTTTATTCGTAGAAAAATTTTATTACAAGAAACAAAAATATTTTATTCAATTTATATATGAAAAGCTTGATGAATTATTCTTTTGATTTTGAATAACATTTCTATTGTAGTGATTTTCTGTTAAAATGAGAGAGGTAAAGGAAGCAAAGAAAGTTCGATTTCTCTTCAAGGTCAAAATGGCTTTCTTATCCACGCTAATTATTCAAAACTCCCAATATTTGGCAAAATTATAAGCTTTTCTGCATCTTGAAACTATTTAGGATCTCAAAACTAAAGTATTTTTCATTCTCTAAAATTTATAAGCTTGTTAACAAAAGGACGTTTTTGCCATTTTAGCTTCTCTCAGTTGTTATTAAATGTTTAAGCATGGATTTGTTTATTCAAATTCCGATAACTGCTACCATTTTTGTTTTCAGTTTGAGAAATATGGCTTTCTTATCCACGCTAATTATTCAAAACTCCCAATATTTTTGCAAAATTATAAGCTTTTCTGCATCTTGAAACAATTTAGGATCTCAAAACTAAAATAGTTTTCATTATCTAAAATTTATAAGCTTGTTAACAAAAGGACGTTTTTGCCATTTTAGCTTCTCTCAGTTGTTATTAAATGTTTAAGCATGGATTTGTTTATTCAAATTTCGATGACTGCTACAATTTTTGTTTTCAGAATTGACTGCTACAATTTTTGAGAAATATGCAAGCTTTTCTAAAATATGTTCAAAATTCTTTTATTTGCTTCTTTGCTTCATGTTTTCTTAGACGGCTCAGAATTTCCTTAACTGGCCTCAAAGCGCTTGGCAAAAAGTTTATTATACTCCCAGAAAATCCAAGCATCTCTTACATTTATGTACAATATACTTTTGTGTACTTTGATAGCTCTAAATATTACTTCTAATTTTCTTCAGTATATAAAGATGAAGCATAATTTTTAACCCATCTTTAATTCGCCTTTCTATTTCAATAATAAAAACATTTTTAAGAAACGACTATATTGGTACTACGTAAAAGTGTGTCTATCATCAACATCACGCTATCGAGCAGAAATGAAATTTGCTTCAGACAGTGAGCAGAAGTTAATTAAAATTATATAAAACCGGATGTAAATTAGTAATCTTTCACTTTCATTTTTATTGTAATCTTGCACTTAAATATGGATTTCCTTCTTTAATATTTGATTCTGAAAGTATTAAATTAAACTTGTTAAATTCATAGGTAATGCTTATAGTGCAGGTGCTGCTGTTTGCCATGCAGTATTAAAAATTATATCTATGATATCTTATATTTGCCAAGCTTTGAGACCTTACCAGAATCAATGTGATGCCTTTTAATATCTTTCCTTCCTTGGTCATTCAAAACACAGTTCTTAAAGAACACTAAATGAATTGTACTCATGGTGCCAGATGAGTTTGCACGGAATCTGATAAAGCAACAGAACACTGCAAACTCTTTTTCTCCTGCAAGCATCTATAATCTCACTATGCTATTTTGCCTTTCAAATGTATCTATCTAAAGGTGCACTTTGATTCCCTTTTAACGATGTTATTGTGTCAGTGAGTATCATAATGAGCGTCGGCGTACTTGAATTCTTTTATAAAGTTTTTTATTTCAATTCGCACTTATTATCATACGAATCAAAACCGATTTTAAACCGATTCGGTGATAGATTGTTTTCCCAATTGAAGAATATGCGTTAAAATATTATTACTTGAAAAATGTGTACATTGAACAAAAAATAATAATTTGTTTTACTCTGTACCTAATTTTAGGAAAAAAAGTGTCTTGACTGATTGTATTGAAGCACCGGTTCTAAAAACTTGATATCTTTCTTATATTTACCACTTCGTTTCGATTCAAAAATTTTATCGTAAAATTGTATGGCAATAAAAAGTTTTCCCTTATAATAGTTAAGTATTTACCTTGTGTGAGGTTTTGAATGTTTCATAAGTAATGTTATTACTATCTCCAATTATCTTTGTAACTGATTTTACTTTAATAGTCAAATGCATCTTTGATAGAAAAGGAAATATGTTTGCTCAGTATGAGCTGAACTTTTTTTAGAAACTTTCTATAAGGCTTATGAACAACGAAACAAGACAGATACTATATAATGAATTCAATGATACGCTTTTATCAGTGATAAGGCCAAGTTTAAGAGAATAAAAAAAGTTCTAAATTTTTTTAGGCGTGTTAAATGCGTTCTTAAAATGTTTATGTTTCACAATTGTTTCCAATCTAGTAAAAAATCGATCTGTTTATAGTTCATATTAATTTGAAAGCCATTTAAGAGTCTATGATTAATTTTGCATGGTTAAAGGCATTGTTACAATATATAGCTGAGAGGTTAATGTTAAATTCTTAATGAATAAGAGCGAAAAAATTTTTTTACTTCCTTTGATTCATTATTAAACTAAGCACCTACAATTATTCACTATTTAAATAAATGCGTATATTTTGTTTCACTAACTTAAATAGGCTACTGCGTTCTCTTGCAAAAAAAAATGACTTTTTATTTGTTAATTGTAGTAATAAAACTGAAGCATAAATTATCTTCTTGATTATGGTTCAATTTTGGTATCTTAAAAGTTACTTAATTATTTGAAAGGGGTAACAGAAAGCGTATCATTTCCATGTATGGAAACTATAGCTAGAAAGAAAGTTATTTTGGTCTACGAGTGACCTAAAGAATAAACATATCACAAACTGAAGTTGCCTTAACTTCGCAGTGAATAGTTTTATAATTTTTGTAAGATCTTGTATTGCAAGAGAAAATTTTATTTCTTGATTCCATTTGTAATTTATCGTACAAATAGATCATCTTATACATGTATATTGATGTGCTCTCTCAGGAAGTTTGCGGTTGCATTAGATTCTTAAAATATTTTGCATTTTAGTGTAATTGAATATACATTGCTATTAAATTTAAAGTATTTATATTTCTAAAAATTAAATTATTACATTTTAAAATGTTAAAAATACGATTAAAAGCATTTAAATTGAACTACAAGGTTCCGAAGGAGAAGAAGATGCTTTCTGTCACCGGAAAAAAATACATGAAAATAAAACTGATTTATTTTTTAGTGTATAGGATGGATTACAGTTATGAAATTTTTAGTTCAGTATATCCAAACCTGCATGCCTTTTAAACAGTTTAATATCTGTGCTAAATGTTTCGATTTCTCCCCATATATCAATTTGAACGTAATGCATATTTCGAAGTTTTATTTAAACTTTTGATATGTAATTTCACTTCTTTTATGAAAGTTAATAATAATGCAGAATAAAGTGTCGTGTTTTTCATGTATGAGCTTCAATCGATAATATTTAGAAAGCTCTTTCATTGAAAAATGTTATGCATGTTGTTTCAATTTATTAAATGGTTGGTGTCTTTGCTTAAATAGCACAATATAATGGCCAATAATGGTCACCGAATGGGTTTAAACAGCTTTGATGTTGACAGTGCTATTTCCCATAACTAGTTTGCATTACGTCTTTTTGCACTCTGTTTCTTCGCATGAGATATCGATGTATTCATGTTAGAAAGAAAAGCTGTGCCTGTTTTCAAATATATTTCTGTATTCAATCTTTTTTCTTGTAATTAGTTATCCAACTGTGATCTTAAAATCAATATGAAATAAAAAATGAAAATTGTGAGAGTATATTTACACTGTAAATTATTCGATATTTTACCCACTTGTCAGTGGGTCGAATAAATTGCATTGTGTGTCTTGGACTCTTTATCTTGTTGAATCATTTCTTTATGTCACATATCTTTTCAATCGAATATATTATTTATACAAACACTATAAAATAAGATGTACAGAATATGACACAGGAATGAGGTACAGAAAGTGTCTTTCGAAAACAGTTAAATTTAGAGAAAATACCAAAAGATATTACAGGTTACATATCATTAAATTTTATGGCTTATTTTTGGAATATCCGGCCAGTTTTTGCATTTTTTAAATATAACTTAACTTTCATATCTGTAAAATTATGTACATTCCAGACAAAATTAAGCAAAAGTATAATGGAAAAAGTCCTGCTAAGGAGCTAATTTTTTACCTTTCATTCTTTGCATAAAATAAAAACACCTTCTTTTAATGTTACATTAATTTCCTTCTTTACCAAACTTAATACACCTTCTTTTAATGTTACATCTTCATGTTACATTTTAGTGTAAATATAAAAATTTTTAATTATATATAATCCACATATGACATGAAAGATGAGTAACTCATGGTTACAAAAATGGAATTTGATACGTTTTTACTATTAATATTTCGATAAAAAAATATACACTGTATTTAATATATTATCATAAATTTAGAAAAAATTTAAATATTTGAAATTTCTAGTAACACTTTTAAACTAAAAATGTACATAAATTTTAAAATTTTAAATTTGTTGAAAATTTGTCAGTAAGTTTGCAAATTATAAGAAAAAATCCACATTTTAAAAACCATTTTGCTTCGAATATTAAAAAAAGAAAATTTTATAACATTTTATTCTCTCGATATATGTAATGTAACGTATTTACTCTAAAATGAGACCGCCTTCCAGTATAATAACCTCCTTACATTTTAAGATAAATTTTAAGAAATGAAAATCTAAGTGAATATTTATTTTGACTTCTTGTAATTCTGAGAAAGAGAATATTACTAATTCAGAAGTCAAACAACAAAAACATTCAGAAGTCAAACAAATTTTTTGTTGTTTGACTTCTGAATTAGTATTTATTCGGCGTGTTATTGTGTCTTAAAGAGAATATTAATTGTTACTTTTCCTTCCTTCGAGAGGTCCTTGAAATAACAGTACCATTAACTGTGGGGCAAGGGGCCAAGGCAATGTTAATGATATTTTGTTGCCTATTTATTTTTAGGCACACCAGTGGCCACCAGTATAATCAATGAAGGCCCATACTGAAATTTCTTAACTAGACGAGGCTAATATAATTAGCAATAGTTGTGCAATACAGTTCAACGGAAATTACCTTTGCAGTCTATTTAGTATTTATTTAAGTAGAGTGATTATTCTATATAGTATGATAATTATCATCCTTCCTCTCTTCTTCTGCAGTTTTTATAAGACTCTACAAATTTGTGCTACAAAAATATAACAAAAATGGAGGGTCTAATTTTGAAATAAATACGGTATATACGTTAATAAGGAAACATCAGATTTTCTTTACTCCAGAATAACTTCATATAATGCGAAGTTTGAAATTTATAATACTTAATGCAAAATGTGTATTTCACAGCAGATACTGAACCGCATTTTCCTGATACATACGTAACTTCGAAGTTTTACAAACTATATCTTATGCTTTGATAAAATTTAACTGTAATATAAATAAGAATTTTTTAATAACATTTTATCTGAATGTTTTTTAAAATGCATATATATATATATATATATATATATATATGTTATAAAAACAAACTTAGAAGTAATGATGAGCAGAAAATCTTAATGGCGTAGAAGTGTTGATCCATAATGAATAGGAAATTGGAGGCCAAGGCACATTAAATATTCACTTTTTATTTCCGCAAACATGTTGCGGCCACAAACAAGTTGGCACATTAAATGTGCCTATCCGAAAGAGTTTACATTTTTGATAGCTTTGCAGTAAGAAAAGAGAAGCAGACAGACTACAGTCTAGCTAGGCCAAAGCATAGAAAGCAAGTGCGTTATGTTTTTCCTTTGTTTCGCTATGGCGGAAGTGACGGCTCAGAACGCGATCCTCACTAAACGATGTGTGCAAGAGATCTTTCACACGTGTAGCAAATGTGTAGTGGAGAGCCATCCTGCATAAAAATCATACCTTCCACCAAGTATTTATCAGCCAGACTAGAGATGATGCGATTCTGAACCAAGAGGCAAAGATAGAAATGTGACAAAGTCGTGAAGAGACTGGTTCCCTTTCTTACGATAGCTCATTTCATACACAATTCTCAACAACCTAAACAAATGAGGAGTTCAGGTTAACAAATGAAGAGCGCACTAAAAATGTGACACATTCTATAATCATCAGATAAAATTTCAAAGAAAGAAAAGTAAATAAAAAGTAAAATAAAAAATAATTTATCAACATTTCGTTACTTCCTGTAATTAATCTGTTCTGCTTGAAATTAAAATAATTAAGCAAACCTTAAGTGGGCAACTATGTACTAGTTGAATTGTAATCTTATAATAATTGCTCTAGCATGATCAAATATTAACGAAAAATAAGTTCATTTAAGTAAATATGAGCTAATTAAAGTTGTTTTACGATTTGCGTCAACAAGACTTCGGCTTTCCTTTAAACAAAAAGAGAGCAAAACTTAGCCAATATAATATTCTACCTAAGAATTTTTTAACGTCATTTCAAAGTTGTTTGGCAAAAATTGGCCATATATAAATATAATTCTTACCAATTACCGTATTCAAATGTCAATGAAGATCAAAATAGCAATAATTAAAAGTAATAGAACACTGGTCTTTTATACCCAAATTTATCATGTGAAGTTTTATGAGATTTAACTATACATACGACTTTTTATTAAGAATTTTAAAGTTTATTCTTGGAAAAACCTGTGTATATTTCAATGAAATCGGACGAAAGCTATATTTGATAATTGCGAATGAAAGGAAATAAATTTTTTTTAATTTAAAATGCTGCATGGACCGAAAACCTAAGGAAAAGTGAAACGATATGTTTTAAAAATACTCTATGCATTTTTAGTTCCCAAATAAAACACGTTGTGTTAGATGACAAGCCTACACAAATACCATTAAAATCATAATTTATTGCAGACTTAGCTAGAAGTATTTTTTTTTTCAGAGCTCATTTTCGATTTCTAAAAATATTTATGAAATACATACAAATAAAAGTTCGGATTCAATATTCATCTTATTTCTAATTCCCTTTCCTTTCAGATTGCATTATTTACTTATATCTATCCCTTTTCCATACATTATACTTGGTGCACATTTCAGCTGAATAAAAAAAGTCAGAATGAGAGTCAAATTACTAAAATTTACTTCCATTGAATTAATGTGCTTATATCCGGTCTTTGTTATTGCCTCAGACATATGAAAGGTAATTTCTACATATTTTCCCAAATATTTATTTTTTTAATTTTTCTTCTTCAAAAAAAAAATATGGAACATAACTAGTTTCGATATTTTTTTCTTTATTATTTATAATTTTTGCTTTGATTTAAGTTTGTCTTCCAGGATGATGTCTATGCTTATTTGCTGCTATATTATCATTCTTGCATATATATCTCCTACTGATACCCACTATATCACAAAGGCATATGTGCAATATTTTTATGAAAATGGTCAGTTATTGTTAGCAACCATCGATTTATTTACAGATCTCTATTTGATGAATAGGGCGGTAACGAACTATTTTTCATGCTTTTACACATTATTCTATATAAAGCCCGCACTCCATTTACCACATTGATTCCTAACATTTGTTTTACAGGCAGAATATTTTCTTTGTTTCGCTTCATAAGACGTAGGAAATTCTCAAATCAAAATAATATGAGCCTTCCTCATCCAGAGCCAGTTTAACGATTAAAAAGTATATGAACTCGAAAGCAAAAAATAATAAAAATAAAAAGCAAGAGAAGAAAAAGTATATATTTTACTTTTTCAAAAAACACTTTTTAAGAGTAAAAAAAAAATTTTTAAGAAAAATACAAAATTTTTAAGAGTAAAATACAAATAAAATGTACATATAAAGTTTCCAATATTAAATGCCTTCCTTGCGAAGTTCGTACATACGATTCCAGCTTAAGAAACTGCAGCGATGTGCACTACTAGGAGGCGTTGTAATGTGACAATCTAACCAAATATCTATCTATAAATCCTTAATTAAATTTGCATGTGCCCAATATTTACTTTCTTAAATTCTTGGTGGTAGTACATTGCAAATTAAACCCTAGTGGCAAGAATAATTAAATATTTGACTTACCCAATAACCCACATGCGTGAGACTTGCGGAGACAAATTTCTTTTTCGAATCTCACATTTATTTTATCAAACACATTTTCTGCATTAAATATGGAACATTTATCACACACATATAAAATATCAAAATATCATGACTTGGAATACAAAACGTGATAAATTAAAATGGAATAGTAGGCTAATGCCTAAACGTGACTATTCGGAGATAAACTACAATCCGGTCCCATCGAACATATATGCAATCACAATTTTCTCATATTAATTTCGTGCAGTGCCCATAATATTTTTGTACATGTGCAAGATCTTTTTTTTCACTTTCACATTCTTTACACACTTAAAATAATCACGTGGTCATACATCGCTGGTAATGCACATTCCGGAGTCGAACATCTATAGATAATCTGCTTGAGATGTTTTAGAACGGTATCGTGGCAGATGGATTTTCATCTAAATAAATCGCAACCTTTAGTTCTGCTTCTTTTTATGCAAAAATACGATGAAACTCCATTAGCGCGACATGCAGGAACACAAAACCGCACAACGTGGGGCGTCGCTAATTGCCAAGTGACTGCAGGAAGGTCACGGGCGTAGAAGGGAAGAAACATGAATTGGCATGAATTGGTGCAGTAAAGAGTCCTAGAGACTTTGACTCTGAAATTTTTTACCCTACGGGGTCCGTCTTAGTAATTAAATTAATCCACTTTAAAGTGGAAAATTTCTAGATGAGAGATAACATTTGTAAGATAATGAAAATAAATAAATAAAAGTAAAATAAA